AATAAACTTCACGGTCTCGGTGTGAAACAAAGGAGGTATCCAACAAATAATCAAATAAATTTTAAAATCAAATCCAAAGCATTAATATTTAAACCTTAATTAAATTTTCCTTAAGCCTTTTAACCAACCAGAACCTTAAACAACTTCAATCTATTGATCCTACTTAGGACATATCAAAACCACACGACCTACCTCACACACTTTAGATGGTTTGCTAGGGCAACCAACTCTAGTTTTAGGCTAGACCGGTATTTACTTTTCTGTTGTGTGCCGGGTTTTCAAGCTTTCACTGCATGTTGGTTGTTAGCTTAGAATTGATTGATTGTTTATTTACGTATTGCACTCTGTGTTGTGATTAGTTGAGCATTTAAATTTTGAATATATCAACTGCTTGAGATCAAATATTAACTGCTTGGGATTATATATAACTGCTGATTATTAGAATAATCTTATAGGATCAAGTCTATTTTTTTTAATTTTAATTAATGTAAATTTGATTTGATATGGTTGTAAATATTTAAAGTACTTTGAGAATGGGATGTTAAAACATCCAATTTGGAATCCAAAAAGGAAGGGTCATCCCTAAGGGGAGAGTCCCTATCCATTTGGAGCCCAAATTTGGATGACTTTTAAATATCCAAAGAGAAGAGGTAACACCCCTTCCAAAGGGGTAGTTCATTTTTATTTGGATATCCGGACTCGAAGATCCAAGAAGTAGCAGAAGGACGGAGAAGTGGATAACGAGAAGATCCATTCTCAAAGTCACTTGAGTCTTAGGATTATAAATCCGGGTTGTTGTCAGTGGTGCCCGGCCACTTTACTTTTCTGCAAATTCTGGGAAGTAATAATAAGTGGCACTTGCCATATGGACATTCAATTTGAGCTATTGATTTAATTGATTTATTTAATTGATTGCGCAGTAGAATTACTTGCTTTTCTAGCCTTTTTACCTGCATACCGATTTTGATTTGACCTGGAATCCGATTGTAGGCTCTTAAGGACTCATTCAAAACTATTTCTACTTAAATATAAATTAAAATATTTAAGTTCATATAGAAACTCTAACGTTTTAAGAAGTAAGCCCGGGACCGCCGGGAGTTCTCATTTCATAGCCTTCATTCAAATTCAAATATTTAATTGAGTCGATTAGCATGCATTAGATTAATAACAAATTAAATTTCTAAAACTTTTAATTGTATTTTTAGCTTAAGCATCAAACAACCCATCATAAGTCTAAGGGGCCAATTAGGATCTGCTCTAGATGTCGGCCCCAACTCCTCAAACTTTTCTAAACAACGTCCCGACCACTCAACATCAAAAGATCGGACTCATATTTTAAAATCGTTTAGGTGGTTTAGCTGGCTCCCCAATCCAGGCCGGGGTAAATCCAGATTTGCACTGCATTAGTTAGGTTAGGGTCATGTTTTAGTGCCCAATTTAGACTTAGGTTCCAGGGCTAGCTCGGGCCATAAGACCTCAACTTTCGGGAATTGAATCCCAAATTTCTAATAAAATCAACCATTCAAACTTAAATCACTTTCAATCAAATTCAAGCCCAACACTTAGGATAGACTGGAGTGTTTTCTGAATTATTTCAGAATCTCAAAACACTCTCTACCTCTCTTTCTTTGACTCTGAAAATAACTGCTCAAACTTGAACCAATCTCACTTGAAATTCCTACCCTTTTCTTCCTTTGATATCAAACTTTAAAAATCCAAAAATAAAATTTCTACTGCTATTTTAATCGAGAGTTTTCGTAGAAAATTCTAATTTCCTACAATGTAATTAACTACGAGGGCTTGTGCTCGTAGGAGATTTAAAAACCCATACCTGATTTTCAAAATTAAGTTTTCAAAACCTCTAATTAATTATCTTTGGGAATTCGAACAATAATGACGATCGTTATCGTCATATTCAAATAATCGGTAATAGGTAATATCATCTTTCTTCATGAAGATATATTATTTTATTATTATTATTTTGATTATGAAATTAACGATCTCTTATCCAAATTATTATAGTCAAACAATCGATTGGACTTCATTTTGATCTTTCGAGATCATATGTTGTCTCTCCTTGAGTCTGACTATGATAATCCGGATAAATTCAAAATTCTGAAATCTGAACCCATTAGGGAATGATATGATCGCCTTTCAAGATGATATAATGACGTGTTCAATTTCAAAATTCAAAAATTTAATATTCCCAAAGAAAATTAATCCTTTTTCAAAATATATATATTTTTAATCAAATAGTTAGGTTGTAAATAATTTATTGATATCTAATTTGAATGTGACAAAAATACGAATGTTAAGATAGATGCGTGAATAAAGCTTAAGAATCATGAATCAAGAAAAGCTTAAGAATATCATACATCTAGAACACACATTAGAAGTCTCTCAGTAGAGGTCGGGGTGTGAATTTTTTAAGACCACAACTTTCAAGCTTATACAACATCTTTAATTTTCATCCTCGTATGAAGTTGTAGTCACAAGCTATTATATAGCCAATTTTTTGGGTTAATGCCCTTTGCTCTAGATATCAATTTCATTGAAAATTATACTATGAGTAAATCCACTCATCCATTTAAAGTATAACACGTTTGCACATGTGTTCTAATAAATATTTTCATAACTATGTAGGGGGCGTTTACTGCAACGTCCAAATGACTATCCAAGAAGAGACATATTGGATGTATAACAGATTGTTGCCGGGTCGAAAAGGATTGACAGTTGAATTTATACAGGGAGTTGAAACTTTCATTCAAGTTGCATTTCCACTGCCTTCCTTTCAGTTTGATAAAATGTTTAGATGTCCATGTTCTAAGCATAAAAATCTAGCATTCCTCAAGCCCGATGATGTGAAGCTTGATTTATATCGTAGGGGATTTGTTCTGAACTACTGGATTTGAACATCATTTAGCGAGTACGAGCCACACAGAGATGCTCATGCCGGTTCATCTACATCTTATGAAATATTTGATGAAGATCAAATGAGTAGACCCTATGAAGACCTTATTTTTGATGTAGCAGGTAATAATTTAAGGTCTAGTGTGGAAGAGCCACCAAATGCAGAAACACAAAAATTCTTTGAGTTGTTACGTTCAGCTCAAAAGCCAATTTGGGATGGTTGCAGTACACATTCAAAATTATCCATTGTAGTGAGAATGCTAAGTATTAAAACTGAGTATAATATTCCCCGTGATTATTTTAATGACTTTATTGTTCTTATGAAAGAAACTAATCCAGCGGGCAATTTAATTCCCTCAGACTTGTACCAAACAAAGAAATTAGTATCCAAGATGACTACTCCGTACATATTCTTAACTCTTATAATACCTGGACCACATAATCCAAAAGCAAAAATTAATATTTTTTTGCAACTATTAGTTGATGACCTCAAGTTATTATGGGAAGAATGAGTGCTCACATATGACATATCAACAAAACAAAATTTTCTCCTTCGAGCTGCATTGTTGTGGACCATTAGTGATTTTCCAACCTATGCTATATTGTCTGGTTGGAGCACAGCAGGAAAATTAGCATGTCCTTACTACATAGAGAATAACAAAGCTTTCACACTAAAATATTGAGGAAAAAATACTTGGTTTGACTGTCATCGTATGTTTCTACCTGCTAATCATCAGTTTCGGAGAAATAAGGAAGCATTTATTAAAAATAGAATTGAGCGGTCGCCTCCTCCACCCAGATTAAGTGGTGATGATGTCTTATAGAGACTTTAGGACATTCCAACAATTATCGATTTTCCATCAGTGCCTAAATTTTTGGGTTATGGTGTTGAACATAATTAGATTAAGAAAAGTATTTTTTGGACATTATCATATTGGAGAACTAATTTGATAAGGCATAATTTAGATGTTATGCATATTGAGAAGAACTTTCTGGACAATATTTTTAATTCAATTATGAATGTTAAAGATAAGAGTAAAGATAATGTCAAAGCAATGATCGACATTAAAGAGTATTGCCGACGAAAAAATATGGAGTTAGTAATAACAATCGATGGTAAAATAATGAAGCCTAAAGCTCCGTACTCTTTCATGTTAGAGCAAAAAAGATCGACATATCAGTTGTTTAAAGGTTTAAAAATGCCTGATGGCTATGGATCAAATATAAGTCGATGTGTTGACATGAAATCTGCAAGGTTATTTGGACTCAAAAGTCATGATTGTCACATAATTATGGAGGTTCTTCTTCCAAGCATAGTATGTATGTTACCCGAGTACATATCAAATCTGTTGATTGAGCTTAGCATTTTCTTCAACGACCTATGTTCATTTAAACTAAGCGAAGATGCTTTACGGAGGTACGAGGATAACGTACCGATCATCCTCTACAAGTTAGAAAAGATATTTCCCCATGGTTTTTTTTATTCTATGGAATATCTTCCAGTCCATCTACCTTATGAAGCTAGATGTGGTGGGCCTGTACAATATCGTTGGATGTATCCTTTCGAAAGGTAAATGGGTTCAGATTTTTATTAAGTCTCAAATATTTTTGAATAAGTTGAGATAACATAATTTTATTAACTTGATGATTGTAATTGTTTAATATATATTTGAACAAGTTGAAAAAATATGTTAAGAATAAAGCACAACCAGAAGGATCAATATGTGAAGCCTACTTGTCTCAATAAACAACTCACTTTTTCTCCTACTACTTCGAGCCCCATGTAAGTAGTACTAGAACAAAGATTGGTTGTAACATGGACTTCGATGTAGAAGAACAATCACATGCTGCACTATCAGTATTTAGAAGGCCAGGAAAGCCTAGTGACAAATGTGTTGAAAGATTTCTTAACGATTTAGAAATAAATACAACGAATTTGTATGTGCTACTGAACTGTGAAGAAGTTGAGCCAATCTTAGACTAAGTTCTTGCATAAACCCTACACTGAATTTGTTTCTTTTTCAAATTTAAATTTAACTTCCTTTTGTCAATTAAGGGAGTTTGAACCAAATTCATGGGAAGATACAATAAAAGATGAGGTGGACCAAAGCAAGTATCCTCACATGCCTTGGTATGATTTCCAGTGTGCTCTTTGGGGACCACCTTGTAGGGATGTTGCAAGACACTTTGTTCAATGCTAGAATTATGCAAAGTTTGATTCACCTTCAAGGTTCTTTGATTAGTTATGTATGCTATTTTGGCACAGATTATAATAGTTTTCTTATTTGTAAAGAAACAAAGCTACATGAGGAGACGATTCCTCTGCTAATCCCTCATCATCATATGGTTATTCCTCATTATATGGGACAAAGCAGAGAAGTTGGATTCCACACTGCAGTAGTGCAAGATATTGATTGGCGTTAATATGACTAAAGATTGATATTTGTGCATTTGCCTTTGATAGAACTGATATACGAGAAAAAGTAATAATTTTGTAATTTTATATTTATTTACATCAAATTTAAAAAAAGATTTTGATGTTAACTAGATGTTATCATTTTGTAAACATTAAGATTTTATGTTTAATGATTTTTGAGAACATATTTTATATGTTAATTGATGGATGTATTTGTAAAAGCATATGAATGAATATAATTTTCATTTTTTCCTAGCAAATCCTTGATAATGATATTGATAAATGAAAATATTTTTTGGAAATTATGCTTTTTATTATTGTTACCATAAGCTAATTAAATTTGTGTTATTTCTCTCTTATAAAATTTATCTAGCTAATTGTAATATAAAGTAGTGATGGATTGATCTTAATTATTATAACAAAGACATAATAATTGGATAATATTTTTTTACTAAATATCACCAAATTTTATATCCATAAATATATATCAACACATCATGAAATTAAAGGGGCATGTGATTTATTTGGTTGATCATTTAGCGGCCAACTTTTATTTTGATCGCTATAGAAAAAATGTAATAAAAAAATTAATAATAAAAATTATTAAATAACATCCAAATAAATATACATTAGCGTAAAAAAAATGGTCGCTAATATGCACAATTTAGTGACCAAAAAAATTATTGGTCAATAATTTAGCAACCAAAAAATTTTTTTGGCCGCTAAAAGTCTGAGCAACGATGCTACTGCGACAAATCAGCGATCAAAATATTTTTGGTCGCTATTTGCTTTTAAGGCCAAATTATCATTTTTAGCGACTAATATTTTTGGTCGCTATTGACCATTTTTTGTAGTGAGTAAGTGAGCAGGACAAAATAGATATGCAATGAACTCAATTATCAGGAGATAGCATATTAAGAAATTAAATAATATTTATTATTGTCAAAATCACAAGATTTTGGTTCAGATTTGCAACACATTCAACACATACTTATTGCTCAGCCTGATTATAACTCGATCATAATCATTTGATTAAGTAACAAACAAATTTGAACATGTTTTAACATACTCAAAGGTTAAAAAAACAATCACAAACAATTATATGTTTGACTTATATATGTTCACAAACAATATCATTTAAATCCAATGAACAAGCTGAAATATAAAGCTCAATAAAAATCTTGCTGAGAAAGCTTGATTTGTGTTTGACATATAGATCGTGAATAAGCTCGTTAAGAAACTCGGTTAATGCTTGATATGAGGTTTACTAAGTCTCATTTTGAAAAATAATGAACATCATATATAAATATTTTATATTTATTATGCAACAGGCTTTTGAAAGTAACAGGGAGGAAAGCTAGATTCACAAACCATGTAATGGTCGCCACTCCAACAACTTAGGTTTTGTTTGGGACGGCTGTATACTACTTCTTAAAGTATCTTTTTAGATAAAAAATTAAAATTTTTATACTAAAAAGCTGCTTTAAGAAGCAAGAAAAAAATCATCCCAAAAAGCCTTACTTTCTCAACACCAGCCAACCATTATTGAAGGAAACTGCAAGGGCATGAGAAAGCTCAATTCATCTCAGCCAAACATATACCTCCAAATACAAGCCAGGCAGCAATTATAGAAATATTGAATCACTCCACATTCATAATCACAGATATCAAGTGGACTACAGCAAAAGCCGAACAGCACGACGCTTTTCTCCTCTCGATTGAAGCCGAACAGCACGACGAAGCTGCTTTTCTTCGGATGAATTTATAACCCGCTCAATCCGAGCGGGTTTCTAATTCTCCCAAAACAGCCTCTGTAATACACTCTTTAATGCATCCGATGAATACCTTTTGTTCCGCTCAAATTTAACCAAACATCTAAATTTAGTAAATACAGGTAATTGGTTTACTTTACACTCCTAATTCAGTCAACCAAACAGCCTAAATATCTTACCTATTAGGGGCTGTTTGGTTGCCTGAATTAGGAGTGTAAAGTAAACTAATTACATGTATTTACTAAATTTGGTTGTTTGGTTAATTTTGAGCGGAATAAAATGAAGTCATCGGATGGATTAGGCGTGTATAACTGGGGCTATTTTGCGGGAGTTAGAAACCCGCTCGATACGAGCGGGTTATAAATTCATCGGAAGAAAAGCCTTCGGCTTCATTGCACGAGAGGCTTCGTCGGCTCCTTCGTTCTTGTTCGACTTCGCCGTTCTCGGTTCTTCCGTTCTTATGTACTAGAAGCCAGCGAGCGGACTCTTTCATGATGGCGGCGAGTCATTCATGAACGCCGCGAAGACTACCCCGCCGCCATTACTGGTGAGACGGACCACCGCAACGACCACCTGAGCAGCCGCAACAGCCGCCTGAGCAGCCGCAACAGCCGCGTCCGCCGCCGCAGCGGTATAGTGGCCGGAGCCACGCCTGTTTTTCAAGCTTTGCTCTTCTTCTATTTCTTTGTATAGTGGCCGGAGCCACGCCTCCTCCGCCAGCGGAATCCTCCCTGCTGTATCAAAGGAATCTCTTCCAGATTTAAAGCTCCATCTCTTCTTATCTTTTCTTTCTTCATTGCAGGGAACCTTTCGTTCTCCGGTATCTCTTTTGCTTCCGAATAATCTTCTCAGCCATTTTGTAGCTCGCCCCATTGTTAACTGAACTGATGAATCTACAGAGAGGAAGGACAGGATAAAGAAGATGAAGACAGACCTCAAAAGATGGAGAAAAGGTTCGATTCTTCCGCTCAAACAAAAAAAGAGAAGAACCTCGACCGCATAAAAAAGTAAAGAAATTTTGAATTTTATAATAAAGAGATAATGTCTACAGTATTTCTCATTGATTCGAAGATTAAGAGCATTAGCAAGATCGATTTTTTATTTGAAAATGGCAGACAGATCATCATCTAAAATCAGATAAAACATAAAAGAGTCTGAGCGGAGAAGAAGGGGGAAAGGTATTACTAAACCAGCTCTTCTAAGTTGTAACGCTCCTACTGCCTGTGCCTCAACACTTTATAATTATTGAGAGAACATCTGAATTTTTATTTGCATATAAGATTTGTTATCTTATAAAAATACACGACAGAGTGATAGAAATAAAAATATTATATCATGTAATTTCAAAAAATTTATAACTTCTTTTATAAATACATTAGTTATAATGACAAAAAAAATATTACAAATGCACTGTATTTATTTTACTTTGGATATATCTAACCAAACAAAGGATACAGTTCTCCTATAGAATGCACTACATTTACTTTAAGCTGCATTTAACCAAACAGCCCCTAAAAGTCTTTTTCTTCACCGAACGACACCACATGTCTGTGTCGTCTCTGTCGTGATCGTGATCGATTGACGGTATCGTCGGCGACTTAACTGACGCGGCAATCTTTCTTCCAGCTACCGCCGCCGCTGCAATGGCAAGGATCACTATGAAGTGGTACCCTTCTTTCCTTATCCTGCACGCGCTCTCTCTAGCGATTCTCTGTGCCTCCTCTGCCCACCCAGCCTATGACGACGCCCCGTCGTTTGGAGTTGCCGTTTCCACCGCCGGCCGAGAGGCCGAGCTAGTGGCTGTGAGGAGGGAGGAGTATGACGGCGGGAGGATCATCGACATCTCCCACTACTACAGGGATGACATGCCGGCGTGGGAGTCGGCGGAAGGGGTGGGGCAGTTTCTGAGGCTTCTTAAATCCATGGACAACGGTTCGCTCGCCAATTTCTCCGAAATGATGCTTCCCACCCACACGGGCACCCACGTTGACGCCCCCGGCCATGTCTTCCAGCACTATTTCGAGGCTGGGTTCGACGTAGATACCTTGGATCTGGAAGTCCTCAATGGTTGGATCTCTTCCTCTCTTGGTCTTGTTTTCTATCTCAACTTCCCTTCGTCTATACTTATGATCCTTAGCCTTGATTCGTTTCTTTCTTGTGTGATTGTTCAGTAAGTGGAGAGCTTTCTGTATGTCAATTTTATTTTATGCTTCTAGTGATCAATAGTTGTATGCTTTCCATTGACTATCATGCTCATTTGGGTGAGGTTGATCAAATAGTTTTATGAATATTGACCCGGTTTATCAAAGTTGCCAGCTATTAGCCCGTAGTACTTGTCCGACCACCCAAGAGTTATTGCTAATAGAACTTGATCATAAAACTTGCTAAGGTATTTTGTACCCCTCGAAATTTATTAAGGGAATTTATCTCGTGGAACTCGTCAATGGAATTTATCTTTAGGAGAACAATGAGAGATTAATTTTCAAAATTACACTTTGATAGAGTATGCTTTGAGAAGCAATTATACGAACAGGAGTGGTTGTGGGTGGCAGTTGATTCTTAGGCTTCGTTTGGGCAGATTTTCTTACTGCTTTCCAAAGCAGCTCTTTAAGTTCATTTTTTTTTTAAAGCAAAAAAAAAAAAAATAGTGGCAAATAACGGTCTCAAATAAAGCTTTACTTATCTCATGTGTAGAAGAAGCAAACTTTTATGGATAAAGTTGTTCAATTTGGTATCAATGGAGTGATATCATTTGCAATAGAAAACTTGATTTAGGATGTATCTAGTCTGGATGATTTATAGTGTCTTGATCATTTTTATAAGGTATTATTTGCTTTGGCTCAGCCTATTCAGTATTAGTGTAAATATCATGGTTTTAGCCCATTTCATGTGACTTCTAAGGAGGTCAACTATTCCAAAAGTGGTCAATTATGAGCATGTTTAACTGTAATTCTGAGTGTTTTAAAAATTAGAATGAGAGATTATATGATTGAATTTTATTTTCTTATTTTGTGGAAATAATAAGATGAGAAGTTGTACATAATTAGATATAGAAATAACTATCTTGGAAAAAAAATAAATTTAAAAATCACTTTTGAATTCTAAAAGTTAGAATTAGCCACACAACATAAATGGAAGGTTTTTTAGCACATATTTCTATAAAGGGAAGTTATTGCCTAAGGATTGTTAGATTGCTGTGGATAGAAAGCTGATGTTCATGAATTACCGGGTTGCTAAAGATTAAAAGGTGTTAGCCATAGATGAGTCTCATGTGTAGAAGAAGTGAACTATGATGGATAAAGTTGCTTAGTTTTCCATCAATGAATGTTATCATTTAAATTAGTAAACTTGATTTAGGATGGGTCTAGTGGGGATGATTCATATTGTGCCATACTATACTAGGTAAGATATGTCTGTTTTGGTTCAACACATCACATATTAGTATAAACCTCACAGTTTTAACCAATTTCATATAACGTCTTAGGAGGTTAACCATCCCAAGTGCGATCAAATGATAAGCATGCTTAACAGTAGTTTTAAAGGTCTTGAAACTTAGAAAGAGAGATTATATGATTGAATTATATTTTCTTGCTTTATGTAAAAAATAAGATGAGAAGTTATACATAAATAAATAAAGAAATCACTATTGTTGAAATAAATAAATTTAAAAATTACTCTTTAATTTTTGAATTTTACAGTTAACCATGTGACATAAATGGAATGTTGTTGGACATAGGTTACTATAGATGGAAAGTTATTATCCATAGATTGCTAAATTATTGTAGATGGAAAGTGATGTCCATGAATTGCTGCGTTGTTATAGATGAAAAGTGTTTTCATAGATTTGGGATTATTTAAATCCCCTTCACCCCCTCAAGTTAGGTTTTATATGTTATTATGCCCAGCATATGAATTAGTATATTAAAACTCATTATTGGTAAAGCCTTGGTCTGGATATCTGCAGTTTGACATGTGGGCTCCGAAAATTCGGCCCCGGCCTCCCCGCCGCGCTGTTGATTTTTTCTGCTTTGGCGAAGGAGTTTTAACGGACTAAGTTCCGGGGTAAATTTTGGAAGGCAGATGAGTTTGTAGATAAGACACTACCAATAGATTTCTCCCTCATTTTGTGAGGACTTTATGATCTGAGTTCTGGTTTTCTATAGGCGCAAGCCCCTATAGTTAATTACCCCTCCCAATCATGAGAGAGAACTTTCGATTAAGGCTAGTCGTTAATCAGATACGTATAATATACGTGTTATCTGGCATATAGTATCTGCAATGGGTATTGAGATTTTAAAATTTGAGAATTTGGTTTGGAAATAGTTGGAGAATTGAAAGTTTTTATATTTAAAATAGAAATTTCACCATCTTTCACTTAAAGCGGATGGTGGGGGAATGAATGATAGACCCGATCAAGATCCCATGGTTCCGTTGTCCCGGGCCATCATGGTCCCTGGTCTACTTAGTTAGAGGAGGTAGTCGACCTAACCTGACATAATGATCCTTATCGGCAGCCATGAGTTGCTTCATCCAAGGGGACCTTGTAGACCTGGGTTGAATGTTTGTCTAAGGGGACAAATTTGAATCCACCTTAGCTAACAGAGGGCTTTGTGCCCTATCGATCATACCCTATTGATTCATATCTCAAGGATTTGATGCCAATAAGGAGCGTATCGGCGCTGGCCATAACCGGTATTTCGTGGTGTCATTTGGCGGCAAAACCACTTGGTTCAGAGGGCCCCGGGTCATAACCGTTTGTCCTACAGTGCCATTTGGCGGCAAAACCGCCGATTAGAGGACATATACCACGTCCTTACTGGCAGGAGATTGTTTGAGAATGGATCATAGTGATATTTTTGACCAGGCATTTGGCTCTTTTGTGAGCTAGAGTAAATTTTAATTTGTCCACCCCGGCAAACTATTGTGGAGGGTGGATGAATTTTGCTTTAAGTGATTAGATGTATTATTTCAATTTTAAATATTTTTGGGATTTTGAGATTTTTTTTTTGGAATTTTCTGGGATTTTGGGTGGAGTTTTGGAATATTTGAAATTGACTTTGAATATTTGGGAGACATTTGAAAATATTTAGGAATCCCTCCGGTTGAGATCTGCACTAAACACGGCCATCATCGGGGTGTTTTGGGGTCTTTCTTCTTTGTAGCTTGAACATTGTCAACTCAGCCGAGCTACTAACTAAGGATCGGGTTTCGTAGGCTTTATGCCTTTGTTAATGAATTCATATTGATTTTAGGTTTTGAAGGCCTAATATGAATGTATTAAAACAAATACACCGATCGCCACAACCGTGTATTTGTTTGAAGGTTCGAACCCTGTCGACTTCTATTGATCTGTATAGAAGGATCAGGTTTGAACTTGAATTCACTTATCAACCCGCGTAGCATCCCTAGACGTCACATGTGTACCAATAACATGTTCGCTGGGGCCCATGCGGATGTTTAGGGGCATTTTATAATTATTTATCAGATCTTGTCGACTCCTATTTATTTTCTTAGAAGGATCGGGTCCATATTTAATAACCCGCGCAGCATCCCTAGACGTCACGTGTATACCAATAACACGCTTGCCGGGGCCCATGCGGGTCGAGAATTGTATACCCTATTTTAGTGTACCTAAGTGTGTATAAACTATAGTGCATGTGCAAGGGTATTTTGGAATTATTCGTAGACGCCTTCTGTCCGCTTGCATAGAAGTTGCGAATTCGGTGGCGTATTATAGTAGCTTCTGAATAAAGTTGTTTACTGCTTTATACAGGCAGACTATCGTGCACTATGGTTGTTTTCTGCAGGTGGATCGTAATGCATTAACGAGTCTCCTTCTTTGGGTCGTAGGAGCTTGTACTTGTTGTATTCTCCATGTATTTTGTTGTGGTCTTTGGTCCTTTCAGTGCATCCGCTACTGCTGTATGTAGGTAGGTAGATGTCTTCCTTCATAGATTGAAATTAACTTCAAGATACTGCATTTACTGAAGTCTTTTTGCATCTACCCACAGATGGTATATGGTGCTCACATCTGTATTCGTAGACTTTTATGTATTGCAGATCTTTTCTGTATTTTTCTTGTGGATAGCTTGTTGTGTATGACGGGTCTCCTACGAAGGTTCATACGTATTTGCACTTTGCTATGTGTCATCTGCTTTTGCTAGTAGATGTCATCCGGTGCATATGGCGAGTCCTTTACAAGGACTCATAAGTGTTTCCCTTTGCTATGATTTTCCACATTTTACCTTCTAACAGTTTATCTACCAAATGTTTGTAGAATATTCATCGTAATTGCCCCATGTCTATTTCACCTTATGTCAAATCTTTCTTGTTTCAACTGAGATGCTGATTGTGGTGTAGGTCCTTTATAGCATATCTATCCTTCTTATTTGAAAATAGACCGTCATGTGCTCACTTACACATCAGTCCGCATTGATAGCAAAGGATCCACTTCTCCTACCTCTTCTTTACTTTGTTTGTGGATATATCACTGCATGATCCTTGTTACAGTTCATGTATACTTCATTGAGTGTGTTGTTATTGACATGCATGTTGCTCTTGCATTTATTTTTCCTTGCATACAAGCCTTTTTGTTTGCTCATTAGCATTTGATCTCCTTCGTGATTATATCTTCTTGGAATTGAATTGTTGTTGATAAGAGATATGACATTACATTCCTTCATAAATTTTAACCTCATTGCTTGTAGGTAGGACCACAAAATGAGCCGTTATGATCCAATGGCTTTCTCCCAAAACTATGATTTTGATATAAAATCATATTCTTCAAATTGTATTTGCAAGTTTCTTTGTGACAAACTTGAGATCAAATTCATCGATCCCTCATCTTTAGTTGAAATAATTGATATAGTATGATCATTATTACTTACATAGATTTCATCACACTTGTAATGAATTTGCATATGAGTCTTTACTTGCTTCGATAGGATTCAGATGGATCGCCTTCTTTAATTAGCATCTGCATTCCAATTGGAATGATAACTCTATTGGAACATTAATTATTCTTCAAATCAAATTCTTTATAATTCCCCTATTAAGAAATCATTTGAATACATGTTGAGTCTTTGATA